ATGGCACTCTACCCAGGGGGACAGCTTGAGGCTCTGTCTCAAAAAAAAAAAAAAAAAAGCATATAAAGGAAGGAATAAGGTTCACGAGGGTCTTAAAACGAATTTCCAGTAGATTTTCTGGACAATTGAATCTATAAAGAGAAATGTTCTCATTCTTATTCACACTTTATTCTTACTTCACATCTAGTACAGCAGGACCTCTGTAAGTTGATCACCTAAGGGACTGTAACAAGCTGGTCAATATACGGAGGTCGTTAACATAAGGAAGTAAGCCTTAGTATGTATCTAGCCTATGAAAACTAGGTCAACTTACGGAGGTGGTCAACGTAAGGAGGTGGTCAACTATAGAAGTCCTACTGTATTAGGTATTTTATTATTATGAATAGACTTTCTTAATGCAAAGGTATACACTACCTTGCTATTGAAGATAATAAGGCAATCTGTTAACATATATTCCTTTTCTGGGGCAGTGCCTGTGGCTCAGTGGGTAGGGCACCAGCCCCATATACCAAGGGTGGCAGGTTCGAACCCAGCCTCAGCCAAACTGCAACAACAACAAAGAAAGCTGGGTGTTGTGGCAGGCGCCTATAGTCCCAGCTACTCGGGAGGCTGAGGCAAGAGAATCGCCTAAGCCCAAGAGCTGGAGGTTGCTGTGAGCTATGACACCACTGAACTCTACTGAGGGCAACAAACTGAGACTCTGTCTCTAAAAAAAAAATCTCAAAATAAATATTCCTTTTCAGTCACTTTTACTAAAAGCTTACTGATGGTAATTACTTCCTACATTTGGGGGACTTAATTTGTTAATAAGGATAATTTTGTAATCTTTACCAGAAGGTAAGTCTCATACCTACTTAAATATTGTCCTAAGCAGAATTTCCAGACAATATTTATGTAAATACTGAGAAGCACACACATCCTCATTTATTATTTTTATTTTTTGTAACTGTCGGGGATCACATCCTTATTTATGATGACTATCTCAAATCCCTGCCCTTGTGACTGGCAGATGCCAAAAAGTCACGAAATAATGTGTGAGAGAAGTAGTGAAAGAACAAACGAATAATGTTCAAAAACAGACAGGAACATGTACAACTGACCATCCAGGAGGCCTTGCCAGATGAAAGGATGATTTTAATGAAACAAGATTAGTTACATCACAGAGAATAGAGTCCTGCTGAGGTGGTTTAAAAAGGGGTAGGGAGGCATTATGCTCTGTTCTTAGTTAACTGCAACAACAACACTAACCTACCTCTTATTGGCCAGCATTCTGGGTGACATCCTCCCTTCCCTTTTATTTCCTTGTGTTTTTTTAAACAGCCTCTTCTGCTTTTAATGTATAGCTAGAGTTGAATTGTGAACCTTCTCCATATACTTTGGGTGGGATCTGTGTATGCAATCTTGATGTTAACCTCATTTTGACACTCACACTAGATGTTAAATGATATATATTTTTTCAATTAGTTTAAGAAATCTAGCATCACGGGAAAATAAAAAAATAAACACATGAACTGTACTCCAAAATAAAAAAACAAAACAAGTTAAACACACACAAACACACAACTCCAGTTAATCTATTAGATAAAGAGAAAAAACTGAAGCTAGAGATCAGAAACAGAAGAACGTGTTTTTAGAAGACAACGTATAAAGGCCGGGCACGGTGGCTCACACCTGTAATACTAACACTCTGGGAGGCAGAGGTAGGTGGATTGCCTGAGCTCAGGAGTTGGAGACCTGCCTAAGCAAAAGCAAGACCCTGTCTCTAAAAACAGCTGGGTAGTGTAGCCAGTGCCTGTACTCCCATTTACTGGGGAGGCTGAGGCAAGAGAATCACTTGAGCCCAAGAGTCTGAGGGTGCTGTGAGCTATGACGTCACAGCACTCTACCTAGGACGACAAAGTGAGACTCTCTCTAAAAAAAAACAAAAAGGACAACACATAAACCTACTTGATCTTAAACAACAAAAAATATTAATGAGAACCACAATTTTGCCCCAAATACTCCCAAAATAACTACAATAAGAAGCAAAAATGTTTGGGGGCATGTATCATAACATCTTGTATCTATGCTCCTCAAACCTGACCCCAAAACTTTTTTAAAAAGGAATATTTTCGGATTACATCAAGAAATAGAAATCTATCCTGCCCCTTCTGTCACAAAATTGAGTAAAAGTAAACCTATTCCATCAATGAAAGCAGCATATACCTGTGAAAAAAATACAGTAGTGTACACTTTAAAACCAGTATGGCCACGTCAGGTAATTCCAGAAACCTGACTTTTACTATTAAGAAATTTCTATCCCAGGTAGTCGGGAGGCTGAGGCAGGAGGATCACTTGAACCCAGGAGGTTGAGGTTGCTGTGAGCAAGGCAGAGGCAACGGCACTCTAGCCACGGGGGCACAGAGACTCTTGTCTTTAAAAAAGAGAGAGAGAGAGAGAGAGAGAGCCGGCCCCATACACCGGAGGTGGCGGGTTCAAACCCGGCCCCAGCCAAAAGCTGAAAAAAAAAAAAAAAACCCAAAAAACAAGACAAAGAAATTTCCTACTCTAAGAAAGAAGAGCATCGTTGCAACAAATGCTAGAAAGCCATTAACAAAATATTAATCTGTGCCCAGTTGGAAAAAAAGTATTAGGAGGAATACTAGAACTTTATTTGGTACTGCTCCGAATCTGATTCAAACTCACCAGCACCACCCAACCCCACCCCCGCTCAGAACTCGGAGCGCCTGGCTGTTCTTAACAAGAATGAACAGTCGCTTCTGACTCGGAAACGAATTCAAATACTGCGCGTAGGAAAGAGATGCATGCAAGGGGTAACATCACTCTTAAGAAAAAATTATTTATTGACGAAGTTACAGTCTGCCTAGAAAACTAAAGTTAACATACTGCAATATTACCAAAATGATCAGTATGTGTCAAATACAAAAAAATTGAACAATTTAGTATATACCTGCAATAAGCAACTAGAAGGTTCAATGGGAGAAAGTGCTCCGGTCACAAAGGCAGTAGCAATCAACGGAGAACCAGGACTCTGCTAGTAAGCCTGAGGCGCTCATCACCCACACGTCGCCAGCAAGATGCGCTGGACACCTAGCCTCCACGCCAGCTATTCCAGGCCTGACGTCAAGGACGCGCCCGGCCCCTAACACTCGCCACGCCCCGCCCTGCCGCCCGACCTCACTGCGGCACAGAAGCTCCAGTACCCGCACAGACCCCGGCCTATTACGCACGCGCCCCGCCCCCACGCTGACGTACAAACCGCGCGCCGGGTTCGTTACACACAAACCCTAGCCCCCCCCACTCTGTGCGTCCCCTCCACCGACCGCCCATATGCTGCGACCGGCCTCTGGTCCGTTACTCACGCTCTCCCAGCCACTTTCGCTCACACCGCACCGCGCGCCGCCCCTCGCGCCTGCTGCTCTTGCACTCGTACGCGCCCAGCCCCTGCCCCCCGCGCTAAGGCCAGTTCCCGGCCCGTTAAATCCCGTAATCTTTCCGATTACGCACGCGCCTCAGCCTCTAGTTTTCAGGCTGCGCGCCGCCTCCATGCCCTTCGCTCGTGCGCACGCGCCCCGCTCTAGCCAGCGGGTCTCTACAGAGCTAGCGAACTTTGCACAGCTTGTCAGCCCACTTTCCACTCGAAGCCCGGGCTTCGTCCGCTTGTCGGGCCGCAGTGGAGCGCGGGGTCTCTTGGGAAGTGTAGTTCGAGCCCGCCATTTCCTTCAGGCAGCGGCCACGGGAAGCAAAGGCCCCGAGGCCGGGTGAGCGCGCGGGAACGTCTGGAGATGAGCGAGAGGGAGGGCGGCAGTGGTCACTCGCGAGGCAGACAGTCTCTGTTCGGGTTCCCGTGTGCTGAGAGGGCCCTGCGTTCAAAGAGCCTGGGAAGTGGAGGCTGGGAGTTGGAAATCTGCTGGCGAGTGGGAAGAAGCCAGGCCCCGGACAGCCTCCGAACTGAGGCGCGGGCCTGGGCGCGAGGGGTGGGGCAGGAACCAGGTGGGTCTGGTGCGGAGACCAGCGGGACTGGGCAGAGCTGTGGACACAGCCAGGGCAACTAGTTTTTTTTTTGTTTATTTGTTTTTTTTTTTTTGCAGTTTTTGGCCGGGGCTCGGTTTGAACCTGCCACCTCCGGTATATGGGGCCGGCGCCCTGCTTCTTTGGGCCACAGGCATCGCCCAGCAACTAGTTTTTTATTGTGCTAGTGAGAGGAGCAGAACTGTCCTCAATACACTTTTCACTTAATCCACTAGCCTTGCCTGGATGTGTTTTAACCTAATGACTTACTGAATTGAATTACAGTGACAGGTTTGCTTTTCAGCTATTCTTGGTTAAACCTTGAATGTGATAATATATCATTACTTCAACGCTCTCGATTTGCTAATACTTTTTACTTTGGACATTTTTCTCTTGTGTTCAGATTTAACATTGCACTTCAATCTTTGTACTATACTTGCCCACTTATACTAACAAGGTTTTAAAGGCTTCATGAATAATTTGGAAAACATAGCTTCTCTTTTTCATCAAGGCTGTAATGTTTCCTCTTGAAACATTAGTACAATTAGCATGCTCATATTTGGGCTCACATTCTTCAGTACATGTTTACCTTTTTTATGATTAATTGAAGTTTTGTTCTACTGAGTCAGTTTTACAATGTCTCTCTAGAAATTTTTTAAATCTTAATTTTAAAATTTTCGGTGTAAAGTCGCTTTAGAAGTGATCTTACAGTGATTTTATTTATTTACTCATTTATTTTGAGACAGTCTCTGGTTAAACTGCCGTGGCATGACAGCTCATACCAACCTCAGACTCTTGGGTTCAAGCAATCCCCTTGCCTCAGCCTCCCCAGTAGCTGGGACTACAGGACCCTGCAACAAGGCCCAGCTAGTTTTTCTATTTTTAGTAGAGATGGGTCTTGCTATAGCTCAGGCTGGTCTCAAACTCCTGAGTGTAGAAGATCCCCCTGCATCTGCCTCCCAGAGTGCTAGGGTTCCAGGTGTGAGCCACTGAGCCTGGCTGATTTTAAGGTGATTTTTAAAAAACGCTACTTTTTTTTTCTTTTCTTGTTTTTTGTTTTTTGTTTTTTGTTTTTTGTTTCGAGACAGTTGCTTGCCCAGTCTAAAGTGCCCTGGGTTTTTTGTTTTTTTTTTTTTTTGAGACAGAATCTCACTTTGTTGCCCTCAGTAGAGTACCATGGCTTCACAGCTCAAAGTAACCTCAAACTCTTGGGCTTAAGCGAGTCTCTTCCTTCAGCCTCCCGAGTAGCTGGGACTACAGGCACAAACACAACTTTCAGCCTGGCTCTGGCTCAGGCTGGTCTGCAACCTGTGAGCTCAGGCAATCTACCCACCTCGGCATCCCAGAGTGCTGGGATTATAGAGGTGAGCCACCGCGCCCAACCCTGTTATCAGCCTAACTCACTGTAACCTCAAACTCCTGGGTTCAAGCAATCATCCTAACCTCAGCCTTCAGAGTAGCTGGGGCTAAAGGAGAAAAATCACTACTCTTTAAGGATATTTTAAAATCACTGCTGTAATTGTAGTGTTGTTGTTGTTTTTTATTTTTTGAACCTAATATTTTTCTAGGCCTTTTTTTCTTAATTAGTTCTGCAGGGTATATGTCTATGTTAGTCTTTTAAAGGATGCAGATTTGGGTTGTTTTGAGTTTTAGTTTTATGTCTTTGTATTTTGGTTTTCTATTAAAAGTAAGTTTTGCTCTTAAGTTTTCTTTTACTTTCATTGCTATTTTTATGCTTCTTGATTTTATTATATGTTATTTTCTTCTATTTATGCTCCAGGAATTGTGTGCATACCTTTTAAAAAGCTACATATGTTTATGTGCTCATAATAAAAACAGGAACATCTCTTACCAGTAGCAACCACGTTCCAATACTTAAGGAGCTCTGGCTTTAAAAACTGCTCTCAGTATTTTTTTATTCATCAGTTTGAGACATTGAAAAGAGATGTGTTTGTAGAGGCAGGGACTCCCTCTGTTGCCCTGGCTAGTCTCAAATTCCTGGCTTCAAGTGATCCTGCCCCTTCTGTCCCCCTTATTGCTGGGATTACAGATGTAAGCCTCTGCACCCACTGAGACATTTTTAAATTTTTTGTGTTAAATGAGAACTTCGGCTGCCTTTCTTCTTTCTACATCCTTAAATCCTAATATTTTGCAAATATTATGTAGTTTTCTTGCAGATTTTGGTTAAATGTGTTCAGTGTTTTTGTAAAGACTATGCAGTCTTTACTACTGAGCCCTAATTTTTTTAAGCTTATTTGTTTACTTACTCATTTAATTTTTGAGTCAGAGTCTCTGTTGCCCTGAGTAGAGTGCCATGGGGTCATCATAGCTCACAGCAACCTCAAAATCTTGGGCTCAAGTGATCCTCTTGCTTCAGTTTTTCTATTTTTAGTAGAGACAGGGTCTCACTGTTGCTCAGCAGTCTGCCCACCTCAGCTCCCCTGGGTACTAGGATTAAAAGCATGAGCCATTTCTCCTGCCCTAATGTTTCTTCCTTGTACAAATTTTACTTGTCTTGTTTTTAATAATTGCTTTTTATTCATTTGCTTACTTTTCCTTAAACTTACATTAAATGCCTTTCAAGTCCACTTTTCTCACGGTCTAATCTGTCATACAATTTTACATTTTCCATTCCTCTACAGTCTAGATTGATCAGATTGGAACTGGGACTTGCCTTTACACATACCCATTTCCTCATCTCATTCCCATCTCTAAATGTAATAGACTCCTTTAAAAATCATAAGCAGGACATTATTATCACATCTGTGAAATTAATAATTCTTTCATATGAAATATATAGGCACAAGCTGGGCATGGTGGCATGCTACTGTAGTTCCAGCTACTTGGTAGGCTGAAGTAGGAGGGGGCTCTTGAGGCCAATGTAGGGGACATGGTGAGACCCCTTCTTTCTTTTTTTTTTTTTTGAGACAGAGCCTCAAGCTGTTCCCCTGGGTAGAGTGCCATGGCTTC